CTCCTCCTCCTCACCCTCCTCCTCCTCCTCCTCCTCCTCCTCCTCCTCCTCCTCCTCCTCCTCATCCGCCTCCGCCTCCTCCTCCTCCTCCTCCTCGTCCTCGTCCTCGTCCTCGTCCTCCCCCTCCTCCTCTTCCTCCTCTGCCTCCCCCTCCCCCCATGCACACTTTTATTCGGATGGGGAGCGGAGGAGGGGACGGAGTGGAATGGCAAGCTGGAGGTGGAGGACACGTACAGAGTGCACCCCCCGAGGGGCGCCATACGAGCCCGTCGCTCGGAGGAGGGGGGGTAGGGGACGGAGTGGAGAGGTGAGCCGAATAGTATGTAATCGCATAACGTGCAGCGTGCAGCGTGACGGTCCGTTCATCGTGCCGCATATCGCCAACGTGAAAACGTTTAGCGTGCAGGTCCGCTTGAGACATGGACAATGTATAGCGTGCACGCACGCTTTGATATTCTTCCAAGGTGGTTTTGACCAGGGGAGTCGGGGTATGGCGTGCACGGTAATCGAGTAATTTCTTGTCCCTCAAGGAGGGTCGTGCACGCTAAACGTGGCGACTTGACCAGAAGGGGAGCGGCCACGGAGTGAGCCTCTCCTACGCAATCGGCGAGGGCGGGTCCGTGGTAGTGGGCCCCGTCTCCGGGGTTGGAGCTGCTGACTCTGGCTCGTATGCCAAGAGCGGGGAGCACACGTCTCCGTGAAAGTGGACACCGACCCTGGGGCTGGAGCTGGTGGCTCTGGCTCGGCGGTACAGGCTGCTGATGGCAGCGCGGTATCAAAGTATACTCGGTCGCTCAAGCATGGCACCAATGACATAGCACAAATCGTGAAAACGAGTTTGGCATATGAAAAATAATTTCCATCTTTTGGATCGAGAACGTTGTTTTCCGAGCCCGACTTGTGCTATGTCGGGCGCGTTTCGCGTGGATCCTCTCGACCCCGCCGGCCGAGGGGATGGGGGGAGATAAAGAGAGGGAACAAAGAGAGAAGGGGGATGTATCGGAGAAACCTCGCCCCAAAAAGCGCCGCCCTGGCGGCGAGAGAGGGGGGCTCTCCTGAGTTGTGCTATGCGAGCCGCGTGATATGCTACGCGCGCGGGGGGGAGGGGGGAGGGGGGGGAGGGGGCGAGGGAGAGAGCGAGCCTCAGCCTGCCTCAGCCTCAGCCTCAGCCTGCTTCAGCCTCAGCCTCAGTCTGCCTTCAGCCTCGGCCTCAGCCTCAGCCTGCCTCAGCCTCAGCCTGCCTCAGCCTCAGCCTCAGCCTGCCTCAGCCTCAGCCTCGGCCTGCCTCAGCCTCGCGCGCATTTCGCGCGGATCCTCTCGACCCCGCCGGCCGAGGGGATGGGGGGAGATAAAGAGAGGGAACAATGAGAGAAGGGGGATGTATCGGAGAAACCTCGCCCCCAAAAGCGCCGCCCTGGCGGCGAGAGAGGGGGGCTCTCCTGAGTTGTGCTATGCGAGCCGCGTGCGGAGAGAGCGAGCCTCAGCCTGCCTCAGCCTCAGCCTCAGCCTGCTTCAGCCTCAGCCTCAGTCTGCCTTCAGCCTCGGCCTCAGCCTCAGCCTGCCTCAGCCTCAGCCTGCCTCAGCCTCAGCCTCAGCCTGCCTCAGCCTCAGCCTGCCTCAGCCTCGCGCGCATTTCGCGCGGATCCTCTCGACCCCGCCGCCGAGGGGATGGAGGGAGATAAAAAGAGGGAACAAAGAGAGAAGGGGGATGTATCGGAGAAACCTCGCCCCCAAAAGCGCCGCCCTGGCGGCGAGAGAGGGGGGCTCTCCTGAGTTGTGCTATGCGAGCCGCGTGCTATGCTACGCGCGCGGGGGGGAGGGGGGAGGGGGCGAGGGAGAGAGCGAGCCTCAGCCTGCCTCAGCCTCAGCCTCAGCCTGCTTCAGCCTCAGCCTCAGTCTGCCTTCAGCCTCGGCCTCAGCCTCAGCCTGCCTCAGCCTCAGCCTGCCTCAGCCTCAGCCTCAGCCTGCCTCAGCCTCAGCCTCGGCCTGCCTCAGCCTCGCGCGCATTTCGCGCGGATCCTCTCGACCCCGCCGGCCGAGGGGACGGGGGGAGATAAAGAGAGGGAACAATGAGAGAAGGGGGATGTATCGGAGAAACCTCGCCCCAAAAAGCGCCGCCCTGGCGGCGAGAGAAGGGGGCTCTCCTGAGTTGTGCTATGCGAGCCGCGTGCTATGCTACGCGTGCGGGGGGGAGGGGGGAGGGGGGAGGGGGCGAGGAGAGAGCGAGCCTCAGCCTGCCTCAGCCTCAGCCTCAGCCTGCTTCAGCCTCAGCCTCAGTCTGCCTTCAGCCTCGCCTCAGCCTGCTCAGCCTCAGCCTCAGCCAGCCTCAGCCTCAGCCTCGGCCTGCCTCAGCCTCGCGCGCATTTCGCGCGGATCCTCTCGACCCCGCCGGCCGAGGGGATGGGGGGAGATAAAGAGAGGGAACAAAGAGAGAAGGGGGATGTATCGGAGAAACCTCGCCCCAAAAAGCGCCGCCCTGGCGGCGAGAGAGGGGGGCTCTCCTGAGTTGTGCTATGCGAGCCGCGTGCTATGCTACGCGTGCGGGGGGGAGGGGGGAGGGGGCGAGGGAGAGAGCGAGCCTCAGCCTGCCTCAGCCTCAGCCTCAGCCTGCTTCAGCCTCAGCCTCAGTCTGCCTTCAGCCTCGGCCTCAGCCTCAGCCTGCCTCAGCCTCAGCCTGCCTCAGCCTCAGCCTCAGCCTGCCTCAGCCTCAGCCTCGGCCTGCCTCAGCCTCGCGCGCATTTCGCGCGGATCCTCTCGACCCCGCCGGCCGAGGGGATGGGGGGAGATAAAGAGAGGGAACAAAGAGAGAAGGGGGATGTATCGGAGAAGCCTCGCCCCAAAAAGCGCCGCCCTGGCGGCGAGAGAGGGGGGCTCTCCTGAGTTGTGCTATACGAGCCGCGTGCGGAGAGAGCGAGCCTCAGCCTGCCTCAGCCTCAGCCTCAGCCTGCTTCAGCCTCAGCCTCAGTCTGCCTTCAGCCTCGGCCTCAGCCTCAGCCTGCCTCAGCCTCAGCCTCAGCCTGCCTCAGCCTCAGCCTCGGCCTGCCTCAGCCTCGCGCGCATTTCGCGCGGATCCTCTCGACCCCGCCGGCCGAGGGGATGGGGGGAGATAAAGAGAGGGAACAAAGAGAGAAGGGGGATGTATCGGAGAAACCTCGCCCCAAAAAGCGCCGCCCTGGCGGCGAGAGAGGGGGGCTCTCCTGAGTTGTGCTATGCGAGCCGCGTGCGGAGAGAGCGAGCCTCAGCCTGCCTCAGCCTCAGCCTCAGCCTGCTTCAGCCTCAGCCTCAGTCTGCCTTCAGCCTCGGCCTCAGCCTCAGCCTGCCTCAGCCTCTGCCTCAGCCTGCCTCAGCCCCAGCCTCGGCCTGCCTCAGCCTCGCGCGCATTTCGCGCGGATCCTCCGCGCATTTCGCGCGGATCCTCTCGACCCCGCCGGCCGAAGGGATGGGGGGAGATAAAGAGAGGGAACAAAGAGAGAAGGGGGATGTATCGGAGAAGCCTCGCCCCAAAAAGCGCCGCCCTGGCGGCGAGAGAGGGGGGCTCTCCTGAGTTGTGCTATGCTAGCCGCGTGCTATGCTACGCGTGCGGGGGGGGGCGGGGGGATGGGGGGGGAGGGGGCGAGGGAGAGAGCGAGGCGGGGGGGGAGAAGGCGGAGGAGGGTGAGGAGGAGGAGGAGGAGGAGGAGGAGGAGGAGGAGGAGGAGGAGGAGGAGGAGAAGAGAAGAGAAGAGAACGGACCCGCCCTACATCCCAGCCACCGACCCCATCTCGCCATCTGTCGCGGGGTTCTCTGGTGTCGGCGGTGCGGGTCCTCCTGGAGCGCAGGGATCCTCTTTAAGCTTCAGAGGCATAGGTGGTGGGGAAGTCTCAGGCGATACGCCCGACCCACCCTAAAAACTGGCCTCAGGGTGCGACAGGGAGGATCATGGGGGGGAGGGGCGAGGATAGCACAGCGCGCACATAGCACAACACAGGGGGCAAGATAGCACGCAGAAACTTGGACAGGGGCCGTTCTCGATGTCCCCGGAGCACAAAATTGCAAAAGTAGCCGAGACATCATGACTTGGGGTTCAGAAGATGCGAAAAAACTCGGTGTTCGAAGATTTACTATACGTCAAACGCGAGCGATTGCAATAGCACAAGTCGATTTTGGCCTGTGCTATCTCAAGGCGACCGAGTATATGCTGGCAAAAAGTGGCTTGGACAGACTGCTGGTGAACGCAAGGCGAAGGTCACGACGTTTCAGCGCAAGCAGAAGGGCTCCAAGAACCTTCTCGCGAGCCAGTTCGCGGAAGAGGTGAAGGCCGCTAAGGCGATGCTGGTGCAGGAGTGGCTGGATGAGGGGACCCTCGGCCATGAGCAGGCGGCTTACATCGAGGCAGCGCTGGACCTCGGGGCGGTTGCGGCGCCGACTAGCCAGTAGTTGATCGGCAATGCAATGTTTGCAGCGGGAGGCTGCCTCTGCCTTGCTTTACAGCTGGATGCTGCGAGGGCAGGTGCCTTTTCAAGTCGGGGCCGCCTGTGCGGGTGTGGGTCGTGATGCGGCCATCGCGCGGGACCCCGCCGACGGCGTCGCCGAAGTGCGGTGCCGCCTCGCCTTAGCGCGAGGGAGCATACTCAATTTTCCTATACAGCCTATACAGCCTCCTCCTCTCCTCCCTCCCTCCTCCTCCTCCTCCTCCCCCCTCCCTCCTCCTCTCCTCAATCCTCCTCCTAATCTCCCTCCTCCTCCTCCTCCTCCTCCTCCTCCTCTCCCTCCTCCTCCTCCTCCTCCTCCTCCTCCTCCTCCTCCTCCTCAACCTCTCCTCCCTCCTCCTCCTCCCTCCTCCTTCTCTCCTCATCCTCCTCCTCCTCCTCCTCCTCTCCTCCTCCTCCTCCTCCTCCTCCTCCTCCTCCTCCTCCTCCTCCTCCTCCTCCTCCTCCTCCTCCTCCCCCCCTTGAAGGGAATCCCCTGCCTCGAATGGGCGAAGGAAGCCCGACGAGCGGAGGGCACGGGCGGAGGGCGCCGTAGCCGCGGCGCTTGGCGCCCACCAGGTGCTCACCCTGCCCCAGGTCCCCCGCCGTGTAGCACGGGTGCACCTGCAGGAGGCTCGAGGATCGAGGGATCGAGGGAGGAAGAAGATCGAGGATCGTGGATCGAGGATCGAGGAGAAGGGGGAGATCCTTTTGTTGCCCCTGCCCCCGGGTCCCCCGCCGTGTAGCAGGGGTGCACCTGCCGGAAGCATCGAGGGGGAGGCTCGAGGAACAAGGAGGATCGAGGATCGAAGACCGAGGACAAAGGATCGAGAAAGCGAAGAGGAGGAGGGGGGGATGGAGGATCGAGGATCGAGGGGTTGGGAACTTGGGGGGGATTCTTGGACCGTCTGGAGGCCTCCAGACATCTCTGGGGTGACAGGGAGAGGACGTATGGGTAAAGGGCGGGGCGTGAGAAGAGGGGGAGGATGTGAGATGGGATGGGGAGAAGAAGAAGATAAGAGGAGGGGCAGACGGCGAGAGGGGGGAAAGGAGAAGATGGGAGGGCGGAACGCGACGAGGTGAGGGTGAGAGTACGGGAAGGGGGGAGGCGAAGGGGGAGGAAAGGGGAGGGGGAAGAATGGGCAGAAGGGCAAGAAATGAGGAGGGGGAAACGGCCCTAGGTCCCCCGTGTCGCCAGGCGCCTGCCAGTCACTCGTCCAGCTCCTCGCCAGCATGCTCCTCCTCCTCCTCCTTCTCCTCTTCCCGGTTCCTGGTCCCTGGTGGCCGCATGATCATACTGACGTAGCTTCCCCTCCTCCTCCTCCTCCTCCTCCTCCTCCTCCTCCTCCTCCTCCTCCTCCTCGTCGTCGTCGTCGTCGTCATCGTCCTCCTCCTCCTCGTCCTCCTCCTCCTCCTCCTCCTCCTCCTCCTCCTCCTCCTCCTCCTCATCATCATCATCATCATCATCATCATCATCATCAGCAGCAGCAGCAGAAGCAGCATCATCATCATCATCAGCAGCAGAAGCAGCATCATCATCGTCGTCAGCGTCATCGTCGTCGTCGTCGTCATCATCATCATCATCATCAGCAGTAGCACCATCAACATCATCATCAGCATCATCAGCAGCAGCATCATCACCATCACCATCACCATCACAATCGCCATCATCAGCATCATCATCAGCATCATCACCATCATAATCAACATCATCATCATCATCATCATCATCATCAGCAGCAGCAGCAGCAGCAGTATCATCAGCATCATCATCATCAGCAGCATCATCAGCATCATCACCATCGTCATCATCATCATCATCATCATCATCATCATCATCATCAGCTCCATCATCCCCATCAGCATCACAATCATCATCCTCATCCTCATCCTCATCAGCATCATTATCGTTATCGTCATCATCATCTCCATCATCATCTGCATCATCATAATCGTAATCCCCATCCTCATCTTCATCAGCATCATTATCATCATCATCATCATCATCATCATCATCATCATCACCACCATCATCATCACCAGCATGAACGAGGGCGCGCCGCTGGATGACCCCAAGGGGGGGGGGACCCCCCCCCTTCCCCGATCCGTCGTCGGGAACCCCCCCCCCTCCCCCCCTCCCACTTTTCCCGATCCGTCGTCGGGGAACCCCCCCCCGCCCCCCCCCCTTTCCCGGTCCGTCGTCGGGGAATCCCCCCCCCCTCCACCCCTTTCAAAAGGGGGGGGGGTCAGCCCCGAACACCCCCTGCCCCCCTTTGGCCGCCAAATTCGAGACCCCCCTCCCCTCCCCCCCTTTCGCCACGGCGCCCCCGGTCTCTGGAACCCGACCCCTACCACCTCCAACACTCATCCTCACCCTTGCCCTAACCCCTAACCCTAACCCTAACCCCAAACACTAGCCCCAAACAGCACTCACTACTCATTACGAACTACTCACTACCTACAATTCACTACTCGCTACTCACTACTCACTTCTCACTACTCACTACTCACTACCCACGACTCACTACCCAAGACGCACTACTCATTACTCCCTACTCCCTACCCTCTACTCACTACTCACTACAAACTACTCCCAATTCACTACCCACTACTCAATACTCACGACTCACTAAAACACAACTCACTACCCACTACTCGCTAAGCACAGAACACTACTCACTACCCACTCACCACTATCCACTACTCACTACTGGCTACCCACACTTCATTATTCATTACTCACTGCCCACAACTCACTACTCACTATCCACTACTCGTTACTCGCTACTACCTACACAGTACTCACTACTCATTAGTCACTACCCGCTACTCCCTACGCCCTAATCGCTACCCAATACGCACTATTCACTACCCACTACTCACTACTCACTACGTTCCCCCCGCCCACTACTCACTAGTTCCTACTCCCTACTCACTAGCCACTACTCCCAACTCACTACTCACTACCCAATACTCAATACTCACTACTCCTTAAACACTACTCACTGCCCACTACTCACTACTACTCACTATCCGCTACTTGCTACCCAATGGGACATCTTCACTACCCACTACGCACTTCTGGCTACTCACTACTCACTACTCCCTACCTCCTACTCACTAGTCACTAGTCGCAAGTCGCTACTCACTATTCACTACTTACTACTCACGACTCACTGCTCCCTACCCACCACCGACTACTCAATACGCACTTCTCGCTTCTCACTACTCACTACTCACTACTCACTACTCCCTACTCACTACTCACAACTCACTACTCACTACGCACTACTCGCTACTCCCTACTCGCTACGCACTACTCCCTACTCACTACTCAATACTGACTCCTGACTACTCCTTCCTCACTACTCACTACTCACAACGCCCTAATCTCTACTCACTACTCACTACTCGCCACTCCCTACTCGCTACTCCCTACTCGCTACTCGTTACCAGCTACTCACCACTCACTACTCACTACTCTCTACTTACTGCGCACCACTCACTACTCACTACTCACTCCTCGCTATTCGCTACTGTCTACTCCCTCATCCCTACTCTCTGCTTACTACTCACTATGCACTACTCACTACACACTACTCACTCCCAGCTACTCACTACTCACACTATCCCTTACTACTTCCTTTCCACTACTCCCTACCCACTACTCACTACTCAAAACTCGCTAATCTCTGCGCGCTACTCACTACTACCACTACCCACTACCCACTACTCACAACTCACCACTCACGACTCACTGCGCACGACTCACTACCAAAAACCCATTACTCACCAATCGCTACTCAAAACACTGTATTCTCTACTCGCTACCCGAGAGGCCCCCTCCCCAGCCCCCTGTTCGGCGCAAAGGGGGAGAGGGGGGGGGGCGGTCGAACGTCCCCCCCCCCTTTCCAGCGCCAAGGTGGGGAGGAGGGGGGGGGGGGGGGCGAAAATCTCACCCCCCCTTTGAAGGGGGGGAAGGGGGTGGGCCGGGGGGGGGTGCGAGCAAACACCCCCTTTAGTGCATTCAGGGCCATCCACCTTGCGCGTTTTCAGCATGAACATCATATCATCCTCATCGTCATCGTCATCATCATCAACATCGTTCGCATCACCATCATCACCACCACCATCATCATCAGCATCATCAGCTTCATTATCATCTCATCAGCAGCATCATCATCGTCATCATCCATACCTGTTCCGTGCAACAAAATCTTCCCTGTCGCACCCCTAAACTTGTCCGTAGGGCAGGCCGAGCACTTCGCCTGAGACGTCCTCATCATTTATGTTCCAGAAATCTGACAATCGCAAACGCTACAAGGATGGAGCACAGGTGTTTTTTAATCAAGCTCGCCTTAGCGCCGCGCACATTCGCATTAAAAGCTTGCAACAGTCAGCTGCGAGGATTGAGGGCGGATGTTTTGTCTAAGTGGGGTTTCCCCTTAGCGCCGCGCACATGAATTTTACACTGTTGCAGCAGCTACGAGGATGGGTTGCGGATTGTTCTCGAAATGGGGTCCTCGCCTCAGCGGCACGGACAGTGGTCTACAAAATGAGACCTTCGCCTGAGTGCCAAGCACAGGTCGTTTTCAAAATGGGCCCTCGCTGCAAATAAAAACAAAACAAATGGCGTAGCAGCTGCACAGAAAGAGGGCAGCATGTTTTCAAATTGGCGCTCTGGCTTTATAACTCCTTGATGTCCATGGCCAGAAGTGTAGACTCGTGTATCAATTACACGGGCGGGGGTCATCCACCTCAAGACCGGGGATATCACTGGACACCTTGCTGACATGTATGATCGTACCCTGTCGCGTCCCTGGTCAGGCGCTGGAAGGACGCAAGGCGGTTCATCGTCGAAGCGGGAATCTCGCCTGAACGGCAGGCCCATGAACAGGCTGGTGGCCTTTCAAGGGCGCGCTGCATGTAGTGGAGAAGGACGGCCTGTGGGCACTTGTGAGGAGGCAGCACCGCTGGCTTGGAGAGGCAACGTATGGCAACGCGAGGCGAGGTGAGGCTGGGCCGCCTGTATCGCAAAGACCTGGAACGCATTGCGAACCCACAGAACAACCCACACAACTATTGAAACAACTTAGTGTAGAGACAAAGCGGTGAAATGCGCGTGTCGTAACGACCTTGATCTGCTCGCGACGGCTTGGCACGCCCAGAGTCGGGACGGAAAGTATGGGCGCGATGCCCAACAGCGGTGCATGCTCATGTTGAGCAAAGGCTCTGGTCCCGTGGAACCCTCCAGACAACACTTCCTGCCACTTGTCCATATGAGTAACGAGTGCTGCCACCCAGGCAAGAACTCTTGTCAACATAGCCAAATGTGATGCGCCCCGAAAGACCGCAAACCCTGTGGCTTCCAGGTGGCCTGTGCACCCCTAGCGCCGCTCCCCCCACGGATGTGGCGGCCCGGCGGACGCACCGCCCGACACGCCGCACGGGCACCGCCGCGGAGAACGTGGGCGAAAAACAAAAAAAAACCGGGGGCTCGCCATCGCTCAGACGTCCACTCCCCGTGCATTTTTTCCGGCGTCGTGCGTCTTTGCTGTCGACGATCCAGGAGGTCCCTCCATGGTCGTGGCTGTCAACATGGGCCCCGAAGGACCGCAAATCCTGTTCCTGCTCCTTCTCCTCCTCCTGCTCCTGCTCCTTTTCCTCCTCCTCCTCCTCCTCCTCCTCCTCCCGAAGCACCGCAAAATCCTGCCCCCGAGGAGCGGGCACCGCTGCTGCGCATATCGCGCCATAACCCACGCCCCCCCGCCCCGGGCGCGCAGGACCGGCGGCGGCCGTGCCGAGGGGCGGCCGCCGTGCACGGCCTTCCCCGGAGCCCCCCAGGCGACTCGAGGAGGAGGAGGAGGAGGAGGAGGAGGAGGGGCAGGAGGGGCAGGAGAAGGAGGGGGAGGGAGAGGAGGAGATGGAGGGGGAGGAGGAAGAGGAGGAGAGGAGGAGGAGGAGGAGGAAGAGAAGGAGGAGGAGGAGGAGGAGGAGGAGGAGGAGGAGGAGGAGGAGAGGAGGGGGGGAGAGGAGGAGGAAGAGGAGGAGGAGAGGAGGAGGAGGAGAGGGAGGAGGAGGAGAGAGAGGAGGAGGAGGGGAGGAGGGGGAGGAGGGGAGGGGGAGGAGGAGGAGGAGGAGGAGGAGGGGGAGGGGGAGAAGGAGGAGGAGGAGGAGGAGGAGGAGGAGGAGGAGGAGGGGAGGGGGGAGGAGAGGAGGGGAGGAGGAGGAGGAGGGGGAGGAGGAGGAGGAGGAGGAGGAGGAGGAAGAGGGGGGGAGAGAGGGGGAGGAGGAAGAGGAGGAGGAGGAGGAGGATAAGGGAGGAGGGGAGAAGGAGGAGGAGGAGGACAAGGAGGAAGAGGAGGAGGAGGACAAGGAGGAAGAGGAGGAGGAGGAGGAGGAAGGAGGAGGAGGAGGTGGGGGGGAGGAGAGAGGAAGAGAAGGAGGAGGAGGAGGAGGAGGAGGAGGAGGAGGAAGGAGGAGGAGGAGGAGGAGGAGGAGGAGGAGGAGGAGGAGGAGGAGGAGAAACACACCGCAGGACGCTCACCAATAATCCACATCCATGGCCCGTGATCTGCGAGGGCTACGCCGCGGCAGGCCAAGCCTGCCAAAGGTGAGGCCCGTGCAGGAGGGGGGGGCAACAGCAGCAGAGGAGCAGCGAGAGGAGAGGGAGGAAAGGGAACGAGAGGCCAACGCCCAGCTGGATGCGGCACTTCGGCGACTCGCGGGAGGTACCGTGGTACCTCGCGCGCGGGGAGGGGCGGGACAGCCCCGCCCGCTACCGATCCTCCCGTTCGAGAGTCCTCGGCAGCGGGGGGGCGCACTCGGCGACGGGGGAGGACAGAGTCCATGCCCCACAGGCCACGGGCGCTTGCGACCCAGGCCACAGTCACCTCGACCCACAACCCAGGCCCAAAGTAACGCCTAGACAACGAAGAGAGGGGAGCACCCTTCCTCCCAGAGAGGCGCAACGGGCACAGCTGATCAAGTCGTCGATGGGGCGGGCGGCGGGGGCGGCAGGGAGCGGCGGGGCGGGTGCTCGCACGTCCCCGCGCGCGCTCCCCCAACCTGGCGAGGCCCCAACCCCAGCAGCAGCAGCACCAGCACAGCGGAGCAGCAGCAGCGAAGAGGCAGGGGAAAGAGGGGAAGGCAGGGGCGGGAGACAAACCGAGGACGCAACGCAGCCCACCCCACAGGGGAGAAGCAGCAGCAGGGGCAGGGAAAAGAGGGAAGAGACGCAAGCGACAGGAGAGGCAGTGGAACACAAAGAGACGCACAAGCACACACGCGCGAGAGAGGGGAGGGAGCGGTCACACCAGACGACATCACTTCACGTGGCAGCCCGCCCCGAGGAGGAGGAGGAGGAGGAGGAGGAGGAGGAGGAGGAGGAGGAGGAGGAGGAGGAGGAGGAGGAGGGGTCGCCCAAGCCCTTCGGAGAAGCCCTCCAGGCCGGTGGAGCACCCCGTCCCCACGGCGCCTGGTGCACCTGCTGCACCCTCCAGGCGGGCACGGGGTGCGCGACCCTCGGCATCACGGCGGCCCTGGCGCGCGCGACCGGCGGCGGGGGAGGGCGGGGGCACGGGGGGGGGGGGGCGAGAGGCAGATGAGAGCGAGGGGCTCGAGGGCACGAGGGGGGGCGAGGGCACGAGGGGAGGCAGGAGGCAGATGAGGGCGAGGGCGCGAGGGGAGGCGAGACGAGGGGAGGGCTCGTTCTGGGGAAGCCTTCCCAAAGCCACTCGTTCCACTCGTGCGCCGATGCTGGGTCAAACGTCCGTCGCTTCAAATCGAACTGGAGTCGACCTTGAGTCGCTGGAGTCGAACTGGAGTCGAGTCGTATTCGAGCTGGAGTCGAACAGACTCGTTAGGAGGCCTCCAGGAAAGCCCCCGAAACCAACATCCAGGGGGCGGGAGGGAGGGAAGAGGCGAGGGAACGGAGGGAAAGCGAGGAGGAAGGCAATGGGGAGGGGGGAGGGGGCGGGAGGAAGGGCCCCAGACATCCGATGCCCTGGCTTTTCGGGGTCCCCAGGCGGCCCGACCCTCTCCCCAAAGCCGACTTCTCATTACGAGCCGTACTTTGACGGTAACCAGGCACCTGGCGAGCGCCCCAAGAACCCGAGAACGGCCACAAACCTACCGTCGCGCCTTTTTCCACGACGTGAGCATGCCTGGAGAGGCCTGTTTGCCAAAGCGCCAAAGCGCCTCGATCCTCCGACCTCCCTCTTCTCCCTCACCCTTGGGAGGGAAGGGGGGTCAACGCCGGGGATCTGTCCACCGAGTGGGAGACCGTACACCCGAGGATCTCGCGGAGCGTTGGGTGTGAATATATGTAGATATGTGTAGATGCGTGTGTATATATATATACAACAAAGATGTACACGTATACGCAAGTATGTGTATGCGTATACATGTAAATTCACACGGGGACAACATATGCACACATGTGTGAATACACAGTTTCTGTACACGTAATACACGCAGACTTACATGCATACAGTCATCTATATGTACAAAAACATATACATGTACACATGCAAAATATGTGTATTTCTAGGCATGCATACATATACTCATATGTACATATACATATATATACACACGATCATATACATGTGTACACGTGTATGTGTGTATGATATTTATATATAAGCATCTATATATATATATATATATATATATATATATATATACATATGCATATACATATATGTAGATCCGCCACCGTGCCTCTGGGCACGGTTTGGGCGTGTCCTCAGGTCCTTTTTCCTCATCCTCTGAGCCTCTATCCTCACGCCTGAGGGATATTCCAGGAGCCTGGACCCCAAGTTCTCAAATATCCCGGGGCTTCTCGCGTCTAGTCGGGGGTGTGTCGCGGTTCCCCGCGGCTTGTCGCAAGACTTGTTGGGGCCCGAGAGGGCTCCAAGACGGGCCAAAAGACCCCCAAGATGGTCAAAGAGTGCTCCGAGTCGCCGAACGATCGCTCCAAGACGCCCAAGACGGCTCCAAGACGGTCTAAGAGGCCTCCAAGACACCCCCAGAAGCCTCCAAGAGGCCTCCCAAGAGGGCCCTAAGAGACAAATGTCATTGATGTGCCTGTTCCTTGGGTTGTTAAAGGATTTCGTCGGTCTCGCCTTTTCGGCTTCCCGACGCTCCAAGACGGCTCACGAGGCCCCCAAGATCGCCCGAAGACGGCCCCAGAGGCCCCCAAGAGGGCCCCAAGAGGGCCCACGAAGGCCCCAAGACGGCCCCAACGGCCCCAGGGGGGGGCCCAGATGGGGGACCCGAGTGGAGATTTCGAGCTCTCTCGGCCCTGAGGGTCCCCCGGGGGGCCCCAAGCGGCCCCCAAGAGGTCCCCAAGAGGCTCCCAAGAGGCCCCCAAAACGCCCCCCAGAGGCCCCCGAGAGCGCTCCGAAGGGACCCCAAGAAGCATCCCTGAGAACTCTGACCCGCAACCCAGGCACGGTGGCGGGATGGGCCGAAGGCAATTCGATAATCAAATACACATAAACATCCAACTACACGTACATATATAATATGTATATATATGTGTGAATACACATATGTGTACACATACATATATATATATATATATATATATACACATTCAGTCGCAGACAACTACACCTGAATGTGCACACGCATGCGCATGTGTATACGTGTACATGTGAATATGCATTCGTATGTACACACATATATATATATATGCAAATACATACACATATACGTGTTTGTGTATAAGTGTGCATGTACGTGTTTTTTATGCCTATGCATACACCTATGCACATGCATACACATATACACGACCAGATCCATAGACATGTGCGAATACATTCACACAACCACAAACCAGCAGATGTGCATATACATACACCTGTAGTTTTGCAAAGATACATCGCCCTCTGGGGGCGCGGAAGCATCCATATCCAACGCCCCGCGGCATCCTCGGCGTATGTTTCCTCGGATCAGGAAGTCACGGCAGGCCTCCCAGATCCTGAATCCTCGATCCTGCGCCCTCGCTCCTCTCTGAGGTCGGGCATGGGCCGCGGCCCGCCCCACGGGCATCCACCACCGTCCACGAAAATCCAATGTCGTCGTGGATCAAGAAATCCTCGCGCGAGGGCCTGAGAGCGCTTCTGCGGTGGGCACCCGCAGTTACAAACTTGACGCCTTCCTCCTCCAGGCCTCCCTCCTCCCCCACTCCTTCCGGGGAGGGGGGGTATTTCCCAGCCTCCAGGGGCGTGAGAGCAACCATCTCTCCGCAAGATCCTCGGGGACACGTCGGACATTGATAAAACATCTGGCGCGGAGGGGCCCCCTCCACGCCGATGCGTTGACTGTTTCACAGCATGGACCTCCAGAGGTCTCGACTTCTTCCCTGAACCCCGCGTTTCACGCTGGGTCGTTAGCTGCGGGTCCCAGTGACTGGCATGGGCCCCCCGAGGCCGATAATGGTCAAAGATGGGAGCTGCATTGATGTGCACATCTGTATCTACATATATGTGTATATCTATGTAGATATGTGTATATATATATAGAGATGTGTGTCTCTGTATCTATATGGATGTGTATACGATAGATCGTAAACACACGCGAAAGCATGGGACCCTCCGTCCAACACCAGGTGTGAATGACGTGTTGAACGTCCCGCGCTCGCGCATCTGCCCCGAAGAGTGTCCGCTGCCCTGTGCGCCGTGGCAGCTGCATCATCAGCTCCGTGGCTCCGCGGGAGGAGGGAGGAGGGAGGAGGGAGGAGGGAGGAGGAGAGAGGAGGAGGGTGGAGGAAGAGGAAGAGGAGGAGGAGGAGGAGGAGGAGGAGGAGGAGGAGGAGGAGAAGGAGGAGGAGGAGGAGGAGCTGTCCCCCGGAGAGCCGGTCCGTGGTGACGCCTGCGCGGCGAGGCGGGGACCCGGCAGGGCGCCGAGGTGCCAGCGGCCACCGACGTCGGGTCGGACGAAAGGGGAGGAGGAGGAGGAGGAGGAGGAGGAGGAGCAGGGGAAGGGGGAGGAGGAGGAGGAGGGGGAGAAGAAGGAGGAGGAGGAGGAGGAGGCGGGGGGCAAGGGAGTGACGCGCGAAAGCACATCGAATGATATCCGACAGGATGGTGGCGGAGGAATATTTTCCTGAAACGCACGATAACCTCGGGCCAAGAGGGTGCCTACGGATAAACACAACACCAACAATCTGCCCTGGGAGTTCAAGATCATAGTGATAATATACACTGCATGAACTCATTTACTCAGTCCGCCCCATTTTAGTGAGCTTGAAACTCCACTAAATCAAAACTGAAAAGGGGCACCCTCAGACTGAGGTGACGTCGGCCTGCTGCCATCAAATCGCACAGTGTAGCCTGACCGGGTCGGTTCCACCGACGGGGTCTGAAATGGGAGAAAGGAAAGAGACGAGGACGACGACAACAGCGACGACGGACCAGCAGACTCGGCCTCCAGCTGCCTAACGGATGCGGCTCGAGAACGGCCCTTGGACGACGGGTCCTGCCGTCGGTTCTCCAAGGCCGTGCTCTCGGAGGTGATCTGCAAAAGACCTGAGCGCAGCAGCTGCAGCTGCGCAGCGTTTGACTTGGAGAGGTCTGCCTTTGTCATCACGTCTACGGGCATCATGGGATGTGGGACCCATCGAACTACTCCCCCAACGCGTCCTAGAGAGTCCCTGCACACCGCGAGATCGATCGCAGCTCTTCTGTCGTTCTTACTGCCAGAGGTCTCCTTATCCAACGTATCGAAGATGCCCTTGGCATCCACCACGCTGATATTTCCCTCGGGGGTCAGGTCCAGGGTACAGCTCCTGCGCAGCACTGAGGCAAAGGGGCCGATGTGGGATCTCCAGGAGTCGTCTAGAAGGTTGCCCTGGAGAACATCGTAGAACAGCATCTGAAGCCACTCGGCCTCCGCGAGGGCCGCGCTCAGTGACTGAACCTCTCCAGCGAGCGTCGAAGGAACCTGACGTTTCACCCGACACGAGCGCCATGCCAATGGGGCGACTCGGGCCCGGGACCCGCGGGACAAAGCAGCATCAGCGGCATATACTTGCCACGCTTGCTGGGGCTTGTCCCCGCTATTCGCCGCGACTCCGCCGCAGTCGGAGGCCGTAGCGAACAGCATAGAACGAATATTGAAACGCCAAACGATGATAGGCACATTGGCAGTCTGACGAAGGTGGTCAACCATCTTATTCAGCACCACGGCGTCCCCGACGGTAGGATGCGTGACCCTACTCGCGAGCAAGGAGGCAGTTCCCGACGCCTCCGCTCGCGTCTCCCGACCGACCCAGTTGAGACGATACACCATGGATCGGAATTCCGAGATCTCGCGGCCGACGAGTGGCTCATCGTGGTTGGATCGACGGGCACGAGGGAGGGGAAGACGGTGTATCTGCTCCAGGATGTATTTTTCCTGATCCACAAGAATCCTATCATTAAGCCTCCTCAACCGGCGACCTATGTAATCTACCCCCGAAGCGTCGAGCCTCACCATCTTGCCAAAGTCGAAACGCTCTCTGTAGCTTTTCAGCTCCTCGGCCTGGACGGAA